CTGGCTGGGAGGGTGGGGAGGCCCTGGCCCAGGTTGCCCAGAGAAGCTGTGGCTGCCCCTGGATCCCTGGGAGTGTCCAAGGCCAGGTTGGATGGGGCTTGGAGATGGGAGGTGTCCCGGCCCACAGCAGAGGGGTGGAATGAAATGACCTTTAAGGTCCCTCCCCATCCAAACTATTCCATGATTTTAAAAGATTCACAGCAGGAACTGTCAAACATCCCCTTCCCTCCTTTGCAGCACAACCACACACAGGGTGCTCTCGAGAACTTGGAAAATCAGGATTTCACTCCCGGTGCTGCCCTGCCAGAGCAGCTGGGCCATCCCACCTTCCAGGTTTCCTCACGTTCTCCATCCCCACACAGACCCCAGGCCAGCAGTGGCACAGCCAAGGTCTCAGCCAGGCTCCCAGCCAGGCAGCCCGAGCGTGCCGGGATCTCCCTGTCCCCGCTGGGATCGGCGCTGGCTCCCGGCACGCGGGATTGATGCTGCCAGATCCAACCCCTGGGTTGGGTTTCAGCGTGTGCCCTGGCCTGCTGCCACCCCAGATCCCCACGGATGCTCGTGGTGCATCCCAAAGCCCTCTGGCTCTGTCCCTGTCACCGGAGCCAGCCCGGCCCCGTGCCAGGGACACCGGCTCGCGCCGAATCCCTCCGGAACGAGCCCCACTGCGCCCACCCCGAGGGTCTGGGTGCCCCACACGCCACACTTGCTGCCCCCCATCATCTCCTGCGTGCCTGGACTCCAGCAGAGCCCGGGATGGTGCACGAGCCATCGGGAATCGAGCTGGAAGTGAATCCCAAGCCGCACCCAGAGTGATGCCGGCACAGGCTCAGCGCCCCGTACTTAAGGACTTAGAGGTTTCATGGTTGTAATTAACCTTAATCTTTCATTTATAGGGCACGGGGAGGCCAGGGGATGCTGCAGCTGCTTGGTTCAATTACTGACACAAACCCTGGATCCCAGGATGGGATCCGGTGTCCCACAGCCCATGCAGTGCTTTGGGGGGACACGGACACCCAACATCAGAGCCTCGTGTCCCCGTGTCCCTGTCCTGCCCAGGGAGCACCCAGGGAGTCCCACAGCCCATCCAGTGCTTTGGGGGGACATGGACACCCGACATCAGAGCCTCGTGTCCCTGTGTCCCTGTCCTGCCCAGGGAGCACCCAGGGAGTCCCACAGCCCATCCAGTGCTTTGGGGGGACACGGACACCCGACATCAGAGCCTCGTGTCCCTGTGTCCCTGTCCTGCCCAGGGAGCACCCACACTGTCCATCTGTCACCCACACACTGCCCGTCCAGATCCCGGCTGGGGAGCTGCTCCAGGGATTGGGCAGTGATGGGATCAGGACAGGTCACCCACCCAGGTGTCACTGTCCCCTCTGCCAGCCCCAGCCATGCTCCTCCTCACCAGGAAAACCATCCCATTCCCACCCGCCCTGCCAAGGGCTCCCTCAGAGAAACTTGGGCTTAAACCAGGCTGGAAAAGGGGCGCTCCAAGGCCAGGACACAGAACAGGGACACGGGTTGGATGGGCTCTGGAGACGGCCTCACACATCCTGGGGTCATGCTGGCACAGCCGGGGTCCAGAGCTGCCCCTGCGGGGCACAAAGGGGTAAAATCCCTGGCAGGAATGGGAGGGAAGCTCCTGCTCTTCACCCATCCTGGTCCTGCTGTGATTCCAGGGCAAATGCGCATCAGGAGCCCCAAAGCCTCGAAGCTGTGATGGGAACCACAGCAGAGCACGTGGCTGGCACTGCTCCGGCTGCTCCCGCCACCTCCCAGCTCCAGTGTCACCTCAGAGAGCAGGGAACCCACCTCTCCAGGGGGAATTCTGAGCTGGCTGCCCCAGAGAGGGAAGGGGACCACAGGGTACATCTCCAGGATATCCCAGCATAACCCACCCCCAGGCACAGGGCACAGGACACACCACGTCCCCAGAGCCAGTGCCCCCAGGCACAGCTGCCTCCCAGACAGCAGGCACCAGAACCCTGCCCAAAATCCCAGGACGGATCCACAGCCCCTCGGACAGAGTCAGGCCAGCACGAGCAGCCAGGTGTGCGTTTTCCTGAGCATCCCAAAACCTGCTGGGAGACAGCACAGGGCAGCAGGAACGGATCCCATCTCCAGTGGGACACAGCACAGGGCAGCAGGAACGGATCCCATCTCCAGTGGGACACAGCACAGGGGCAGCAGGAACAGATCCCATCTCTAGTGGGACACAGCACAGGGCAGCAGGAACAGATCCCATCTCCAGTGGGACACAGCACAGGGGCAGCAGGAACGGATCCCATCTCCAGTGGGACACAGCACAGGGCAGCAGGAACGGATCCCATCTCCAGTGGGACACAGCACAGGGCAGCAGGAACGGATCCCATCTCCAGT